TTTTTCTGCAAGTTAAGAGCGTTTGCCTCAGTGACACATGTCAGAAAATTTCACTTGATGTGCATCGAGATGCGGTGCAAGATTCAAAGTTTGTTGGCCATGTCTTTCACAGTTCCAAAACATTGAGTCCAGTTCAGTGTTACATGTGGTGTATCGAAGACTGTCGGTGCTTGTCATTTAACTACAACGATACAGATGAAGGAAAATTCTGTGAATTGAATGAAGCAAATCATTTTACAAACAAGAGCTCCCTCAAACCTTCTCCCGGCTCAACTTATTACAATCTCCGCAAGGACGACTTTATAAAGGTAGGTGACCTGCTGTAACTGGAACAAAGTATGCATTTCTTTTTTCTTTTTTACCATCTAAGCCTCTTTTTTTTTCCTTTTTTCTTTTTGGGAAATCTATACAAGGTAGTAACCACCATGGTCAGAAGAGCTGTCAAAGAGAATTTCAATTGTAAACATCGTGCGCTAATTTTTCTTTGGTTATTTACCTCAAATGTTTGGGAGGTTACCTTTCCTTATTTCCTCAAAAAAAAGAGCGAACATTCCAACTTTACGAACCGATCGAGTCTTTTATTTCTTCATTTACTGCAAAAAACCAAGGAGCAATGGCAGGTTGCTTTCTACTAGCATTTACAAACCGATCGAGTACTACGTTCCTTCTTTTACCAAACAACGGAGTAATCGCGGATTGGTTGCTTTCTCCAGACATTCTGCCGTTGAATAGTTTGTCGATTCCCCTGTTCGTAATTAACACTATCACCTGTTCTTCATTTTGCTGCTGTAATTGCACGTCAATCAATGCAATTGTAAATTGAAATCAATTTTTATTGTTAAATACATCCCTTCCAAAAAAGAATTAAGTTGTAGTTACTTTCAAAACTCTGGTTCGCTTTGCCTTTTGAATATTCTAAGTAGAACGTACGATATCCTGATTACAAAGTGCGAAAAAACAACGCCCTTTTTCAGTGATACCAACCAGATCTAGTTCGCACTTCTTTTCCTTCTCCAGGGGCTCCTTGCCAATGGTTTTCCAGCTATGTATCCTCTTGTATTCTCAATTTATCTCTGATGTACATGTAATTGCAGTAACGTTGGCGATAAAAAAAAGCAAAAAAAAACATGATAAAGCCAAATAGGAATTTATTCACATACAACATTATTCTCTGTAGATATGTTCGGCGGCTGGACAATTTTCACAAAATTTACGCTGAAAAATTGTTTATAAATTTTTGAGAATATCTTATGTTGATTAAAAATTTTCGAACGATTCCAAAAATCGAAGAAATATATGCTAATGCTGTTTGTTTATGCTATATGCCAATAAATTCAAATTTGGGTTTCTCCTTTTTTACTCTTTGCTTTTTCCTATAACAACTTTACTGAAATTAAGTTTAAGTGAAACAATGATTTCAGAATTCTGTTCTTATCCTGCATGTTCTTGCTGAAAGACATTCAGCGAGGCAGGTTTTCTTCTTTCTTTTTCTTTGTTACCAAGATACCGATATGTAATCAGTTAAATTCACAGTAGATATTTCTCGTTCGTTTTGCCAGGTATTGAGCAATGTGCAAATAGAGAAGAACGTCAATTAGTCTTAATTATAAACTCGCAATACATGAAAGATGATATAGATAAATATACCCAAGTTAAGTGATATAAAATGAATGACGTCCTATGGCTGTCTGAGCAGATCAAAGAGAGTGCCAGACTAACCAGCACGTTGATGAAACAGGCCATATCCTTCAATGAACGTGTTTAGTTAAGAAAACGTTTTCATAACGCAATAGTCTTCCTCTTTTGAAGAGACATATAATATATATTTCCGAATCAAACTATTTCAACAGATTAATAGCGATATGGTTCCATGTGTTGGTGACGTCACGTGTGGCAATGACTGTTGCAGGAACAATCTGTGTCTCAATGGTGGAACCTGCACTGAGATCTGTGAGCCCACAAGTGTACGGTACAGTTGTTCCTGTCCAGAGTTGTTTGTTGGGAAACATTGCGAGACTAAGCCGGGAAGTTGTCAGGATTACAAAGCAGCCGGCTTTAACTCATCTGGATTGTACAAAGTCACTGATGGTAGCAATCAAACCTTCACAGTGTTCTGTGACTTTGACTCAGAGCCTGATTTCGCTTGGAACCTGATTGAGTCATTCAGTTTGTCCAACAAAAATCTTGTTCAAGTAAATGTATTCCCTTTACAATCTGAGTTCAGAGTAGATAAAAGGAATTGAATAGAAGCTTCCATGAAAAAAAGCTACTCATCAATAGGCTAATCTGCCAAACCTTTTTGAATTTGAATAAATCTTTCCCAACAACATTACCTTTTTTAATTTACAGGGACACGAGTAGAAAGTGGAACTGACTGAAATTACATTCTTTCCGAAAAGAGAATCAGCACAATCTTGATGACTGATCCTAGGAGAATATTGAAGATTCATTTAGGGACTGAGGGGGGTGGAGGATTTTGGAGGAAGGATTCCATGGTTTTCAGGGAAATGGAGGGGGTATCGGAGGGGAGGGGGTATCGGTCATCGCTGACAGAGTATAAAGGGGGGGAGCTATGGAAAATTAACTGCCAATCAGCTGCTAAAGAGGGGAAGGGAGATCCTGAGTATATTACAGAGCCTTATGGATGGGATCAAGAATATTTCATCGTGACACAACCAAATCCTCTGACCCTCCTCCACCCCTCTCGGGTCCCTTGTTTTATCACTTTATTGACTAAGGTGGTCTTTTTGCCCGTCTTGCCCAGCGAGCTCTATTTTGACCGAACTAATTCCATGGTAATCAGTGGAAGTGAAGATTTCAATATATTCTATTTCCTTAGAGCATTGTATTTTCCGACTATGATGATTCTAAAGCGGTCAGCGGTGAGACACCAAACTGGCAGACATACTTGATCCGCCCATCGTACTTTGCATGGCTTGGCTCCCGGTCCACTCACTGGCGAGCCACTTGCCGTTATGACACGGACGGGGTGGTTTACCGTGATTACATGCGAACTTCGTTTGAAGATTTCGACCTAATGAATATCCAAGTTCCAATTGTCGCAAAGTGTGTCAAGTTTGAGATCATCAATGTTAGAGGCTATGAATGTAAATCATGCACAGCACCTTTGTGGAACAAGAAAGACCAAAGCGCTTTGCATACAGACAGCAGCAGAAGTTTCTGTCAGTTCAATGGAAATCGTGGTAACGTCGTCGATAATGAGGACAATTTTGGTAGTTATAATACTTTCAATCCTGCTTTTCGTTGTACTTCTAGTGCTGACGCTACAACTCAGTTCTGGGTAGGAGGAAAGTAGACGGGCTTCTGTGTTCCTTTAATCTAAACCACTGCATGTAGCATTTAAGTGTATGTATATGGAGTCGGTCATTATTAGTCGGCTGGGGAGGAAGGAGCTAAGAGGATTTTGGTTGTTTCACGATGAAAGTTATCTGATCTGCCCAAAAGGCTTTGGAACATTTTTTTCTTTCCCCTCATTGGAAGTTGATTGGCAGTCAAGTTTTTATAGCGCCCCCTTTATTCTCTGAACTGAAGCGACGATTGTACAATCTCCCCTCCGTTCCACCTGAAAACCACGTGATCACCACCCAAATCCCCAAACCCCCCTCTCCGGTCGATAAATAATGCTATAATCAGTCAATTACATGTAGTCATCAAGTAGTCTGGAAACGACAATTGAAAACGAATCATCTCAGGCTTTCATAGCAATGCGATTCTCAAAAACGAGACATAATCATAGTCATGCTAAAAACAATTATAAGAGGCTTTGAAGCCGACTAAAATCGTGCACAGCACCTCTGTGGAACAAGAATGACCGTAGAACTTTATATACAGCATACAGACAGCAGCAGTAACTTTTGCCAGTTCCATGCGAATCGTGACGACGTCATTAATGATGAAGATAACTTTGGTAGTTAAATACACTTCACTCCTGCTTTTCTGTTGTATTTCCAGAACTGAGGCTGCAACTCAACTTTGGATAGGAGGGAAAAACATTGCGTGTGTTTCTTTAATCATTATTGCAGTGAACACCTGGTACATTATAATGGTACATTTCGTAATAAGTCAAAGCAAATCCGTATCTTATTTCGAAAGTTACCATATTGTTACTTTTTTCTCTGATGAAGGTCACCGTGGGGTATTGCAGAAAAATTGCTTAAAATAGTACTCTTCTGCCGCTAATGGTGCCCTAACGGTTAGTGCGCTGGACTACTGGTCGAGAGGTCTGGGTAACCAGGCCAGGTCATTGCGTTGTGTTCTTGAACAAAACGCTTTACCCTCTCAGAGTCTATCTCCAGGCCACCCAGGAGTATAAACAGGTACCGGTAGATTAAATTGTCAGTCCAGAGAGCCTGATGAAATGTCCTAATTTATTCACTTCATGGGCTTGACTGAGAAACTTGGCTCGACTATAGACTTTACCTTTTTTACTTTCTGCTGTTAGGAAAGTCCTTTTTTTTTTTTTGTTAGATGAATTTGCCATAGAGAATGAGAAAAGTAAATAGCTAATTATGTAGGCGAAGTTATCATTTTAATGTTCCCCATGAAACCCTTAGTCTGTGGCTCATTTTTTCGAGTGTCAAGTTTTCTTGCAATTGAAAGTTCATGCCAGCGGAGCCTTTTCCTGAGGGACTTTAAACACATTAGTTACCTCTTAGAATTGGTGGACACAACACTACACTAAACCACATGTAAACATCAGTTTGATCTCCAAATTACTTGTCTCCGAACTTTAATAATTATGTTTTGCTGGTCTCAGTTTGCAAAAGGGGTTAAATTAACGCTCAGTACATTGTAAATGATCAATTACTCAAACTATCGTTAAAAAAGGGCGTAAGCGTTTAATTTTGGCAATTAGCCTCTTAGGACCGGTTGACAAATTGAATTAAGTTTAAGACTGTTTATGGCTGTACTACTAAGATTACTAAATATTCATATGAGAAAGAAAAAGTTTTGTGGTCATGTTGCCAGCTGAAAAGTGTGAGAGACAAAATCACGTCTGTCAAATTACAAATGTAATTGATTAATATCGTAATCTGTAAGCAATTATCAGAAATATCTGCGGCTGTTAGCGCATGCTAAACGTAACACAGCCAATAGCAGCTTTTCTCTCTTAAACAATGAACAGGTTTTTGTTTTAAAACAGGTTTTAAAATGAAATTGTACATGTATGATTGTCATATTATATACATTTTAATTTATAGTCTGTGACCAATAATCAGTATCGCCGTATTTTAGTAGTGTGCATTTACGGAGAAATGTATAGTTGACTAACTAACCTAATTTACAATTTAAAAACCCTAAGAGGAAGAAACTGCGAAAGGTGTCACGTTCCCAACTTACACTTCTTTCTCTAGCAGATCATTGATTGTAACTGTTTCGAAAGAGTTCTAATATATTATAATTGAATAAAGTTTTAATTTTCACCTGAATAAACCTACGGAGAAGTATTGAATTAGTAAACAGTGTAAAAGAACTGATAACCTCATTGTCTCGTTATCTGTCTGTACAACTGAAATGAAAGATGGAACATCAGAGCTATGCTTCCTCTGAGAAAATGGATGATCTATATGTCTTGTCATTGGGTTTTGGGAAGTACTTTAACAAAATATTTTTATTTTCCTGTCTCATCTTGCCAAACGATTTCAGGTGTAAAAGCGCGGCAAGTTCTCACGCAATTTAATTGAAGTTCACCGTGTTAATTAAAGGTTAATCAAATTTTATTGTTTTGTTTTGGAAAACCGAAACCTTGCTGCTAATCGGTGAAAAACTTTTGTCAGAGATTCTATATGAAAATTTCAACAACACCAGCTCCAATCACTGTTCTCTTTATTGCCGTAGCAAGAGCGCACTAACTTGCCTCCAGCAAAACAAGCAAGGGTAAGTTTATGTGCTTCTTGTTGTTACTGACTTGTGAGTATAGAGGTGCTGTTCGATTTCAGCCCTTCCTTTTTTTAAAAGTAGGTTTTTTTTTATCTATTCCTCCTTATCAGCCTTAAGATGAGGACATTTTGGTACCTAATCACGGTGACTGTTCTTCTCTTCTCCGCTTCGGTCCAAGGTTCGCCAAAGAGAGCTGGTAAGTAAAAGCACAGTTGTAAATCAAATGCTTGTAAGTAATGCAAGAATTAACAATTGATCGTGTACTCTGATCGTCACCTTGAGAATATGCAACATGCAATTACTGATGGTTAGAAAACCTGAGTGGAATTTATCATAAAAATCTTGACTTCGAAGATGACTTCCGCTCAGGTGTTCAAAAAAGCATTCAGTGTTGCCAACAGCAGTCCTTAACCGAATCCTCTGCCACTTAATCAGACAAAAGACTGCTACAATTTAGGCACTTTCTTAAAATCTTCAAATTTCCGTGGAAGAAGCCTTGTTTTACATCAAAAATTTCTCAGTGTTTTTTTCCATTATTCGATGTACACCTTGTCTCCACCGCATTCCAAAAGTATTCAACCAGAATTAATAACACAAAATTCAAATGGCTATTGCTGAGATTTCATTATCTAAGCACACTTGGATCTTGATTGAATTTGCTCTTCTATGTAACACGAACAAGTAAATGCGAACTTCTTTATTTTCTTTTCAGTGATCGGACCAGGTTGTTGGAAATCCAATCAGCCTCAGTGCCCTAAGAAGTACGAGCCAGTCGGTTGTTTTGCAGACATAGCAGACCCCCCAGAAGACAGGACGTTATTAACACTACTTCTTACAGCCAGAGATCCAAGATCGAAAGTTTACTTCAAAGAAAGTATAAATTGGAGGGACTGGGCTAACTTTATCGACAGGTAACTACAATAAATCTTTTTTCTTTCATTTTTTTTCGCGTGAATGCTCGATTCAGTTGGAGTTCTTCGACTGAGTCCTGGAGTCCTTCAACTGAACCACTTGCAAGGGGCCAATGAGATCTCAAGTGAAAAAAAGAACTAAATTTGAAAGCAGGAATGTAATTTGGTTGTAACTGCTTTAGATATGCCTTTGATTAGTTGTGATGACTTTCGCTAAGATCAGCGAAGCGTCAGTAACGTTCCGCTCCAGCGGTGAGGGTCAACGATCAATGAAATGATTCAGGTCAATCGTGATTTACTTTGGGTCCTCTATCAAGCTTTTCAATAAAATTGATCTTTTAATAAAGCTATATTAAACCACTACGATATTTTACTCATAGATTTGTCTGTGAATGTGCAAAAAAGGCCGAAAAAATGAACTTTGATTATTTTGGTATCGAGTTCCATGGAGAATGTTGGGGCGGATCGAGCCCCAGGGATGGTCGAAAAGTTTCGTCTGACAGCTGTATCATGGTCCAGAACAATAACTGTGCTTTCGAGTCATGCCACGAACAACGAGGGCAAGGGAAGATATGTGTTGGAGGAGTTCTCGATTTGTTCGTTTACAGACTACAAAAAGGTAGGTAAATTATTGTCGTGCCGCAAGTATTATAGGTACCGAGTTATCTTAACAAAAACGTTTCTGTATGTAGATAGTTTCACAAGGTGGAAACTCTGTAACAATCCGTTTGTTAAAACCACCTTACATCTCTGATCTGTACCGAGGAGATCTACTTCGTTTAACGCCAAATTCTCAAAATTGATGTAACAAGAAATGTATGGTAGAAAACAGGGAGAAATTACATTCAGACCTTGTGAAAGAACAAATACTTTCTCACGTATTTCTTTGTACACCCTGAATATTCATGGATATATACATTTGTTAAGTGATCTTCCAAAGAAATAAGTTTTCTAACCGTTGATTCGTTGTCTTTCTTTCGGCTTATAACCCAGGCTGTTATCAGTCGCAACAGCCTAAATGCTCTCTGGAACGCAGGCCGGTTGGTTGTTTTCGGGATAGAAAAGACCCTTCTCTTCGAGCTTTACCGGACCTATTGCTTACGGCAAGAGATCCAAATTCAAAGTCTTACTTTGGAGAACCCTTTAACTGGAACGACTGGGCAAACTTCCTTGACAGGTAAATGGTGAAATGAAAATGAGTCAACATTTCTTTGATAGATTCATTTTAATTTATCTGACAGAAATGCAGTGACCCTATGAGATGGGTGTTGGATACTAGATAGAAAAGTAAAGGTTTGAACCCTGACCGCGTCGTTGTGTTGTGTTCTTTGACAAGACATTTTACTCTAACAATTTCTCCTTCCATCCATGTGTATTTGTACTTACGAACTCTTGACCAAACGCTTGGACGACTTGCAATCGACAAACATCTAATCCCGGGAGAGTTACAATCTTCCCAGGTGAAACAGGATAACCTTAGACGCCCAAGAGTCACTTGGAATGTAAATACCACCATTGTCTTTATCTTTGAATAGCAAACTTCTCCTTTTGTTTGATCTCGCAGGTTCACTTGTGAATGTGCAAAACTTGCGGAAGGAAAAAACAACGAGTACTTCGGTATCGAGTATTATGGCGAGTGCTGGGGTGGAGGTGACAGCTATAATCAGCATGGTGCATCTAAAAAATGTACAATGGTTAAGGAAAATGAGTGTGGTTTGATGGAGTGCAGTACACAAAGGAATAATTCCAAAATGTGTGTTGGAGAAGATTATGCTCTGTACGTCTACACAATCAAACCAGAACGTAAGTGAAATGTAAATGCTTTTACTTTGCCGGCTGGATGCTGAATATTTCTCCTTTTTTTTTT